AATCAACATCCAACGACATAGGATAATATTATTTAGTTTTTTTTAAAAAAGAAATCGATACTATTAACCTTATCATTTTCAAAAAAATTAAATCTAATTCTAAAAAAATTAAAATCTAATCTTATAATTAATAATAATTTATTCATTTTATCGTCTATAATCATTTTATTAAATATACTTGGCTTTTAATGTTGTTCTATGATATTAAAATAAGTTTATGAAAAATATTATTTGCTTATTATTTGAATATTAAAAAATTAATACTATTTAAGAATAAATTATAATCATACTCAATACTATATAAGAATAAATTAATGAGTATAAATTACAAAAAATACCAAACAATAACAATGCAACGCACGTGGTAAAAAATAGTAAGTACTATTTAAGTTTTGATACATTTTCTAAATTGACTCTGTCATGAATTAACATGAAATAAAGTGATCCTAGAGAACAAAACCGGTTCCCGCGGCCCATCCCGAGCCCCGAAGGTTAAAACATATTTTGGATTGGGCTTGGTCTTAGGCTTAGGCTCGAGTAGTGAAGAGTCTCAAATATTTTTATTGGGCCGGACACCGAAGCAAAACCCCGCATATATTCGAATACGTTGAATGGTTAGTTGTAGACATGAGTAAAACATATGACCAAGTGGAATGACATTTTTTAAGAAATGTTTTGCTTAGATTTGGTTTGGATGTGAAACGGACGGACTTGATCATGAATTGTGTTTCTACTGTTTCATATTCTTTGCTTATTAAGGGGGAACCAACGAAAAAATCTGGAAAGATCGCTGACTTACGGACCCGAATCATTCCTGAATTATATCTCCTCCTATGATTTTAGATGAGAATGCGACTGTGAACCGTAGATGAGAATGCGGACTGTGAACCGCCTTATTCTCCAAGACCCAAGCATTGAATGTGGATTTAATCTCATTCTATTTTTGATCCGTTGGAAGCTAGGGCATTATGTGTGCTATCCCTCTCCACCATGCGGACGTACTAAGGACGTTTTTGGTTCTGGCCTCTTTCCAAAAAGTAGGGTTTTATATGCAGTACGCAGTAGTTAATCATATTGCTGCCTGAGGCCAAAATTGTCTGGTTGTACAGCTTTCTCTTCTAATCTTGGTGGCGTTCAAACCCAGTGGAGCAGAATATTTCCCCCTAAGGGTCAACATTTTTGCTAAAGAGCTTGTATAAATCACATTCCTGTTGTTGATGCACTTGTACACAAAAGGTATGCATATTTGATCCAGTTTGCTCCGTCTATGGGTTGGCCATGAGAACACCATGCATATTTTTAAAAGAACTACATCATAGCCCAACATTCTTTAAATTTTCTCCTTTTAAGGGCTCATAAAGGCTCATAACGTTTGATTATCGAGTCTCGAGTTTCCAGGAATGATTTGAGATTATTATCAGTAAGTTTCAGCAGGAGCATATTGAGCTTTTTTCGATGACTGCATGGCAATATGGCATTCTCGCAACTTGGTCAAGTTTCAGCAAAAGCGATTGACATTTGAGGAGATTACCCAGATGGCTATTGTCTACTCAACAGATTTTCAGCGGGCGAACGAGATGGAGGTAGATTCCCAAGATGTTACTATAGAACAGAAATGACAGCCTCCTTCGCATGGTTCGTTTAAGTTGAATGTTGATGCATCGATTAAGGAGATGGTGGGCTGTGGCTACGGTTTCATTATCCGTGACGAGGAGGGGGAGGAGGGGAATGTAAATATTATGGGATTTGGCACTCAATGTTCTTATGTAGTCATTCCTCCTGAGGAAGCAGAAGCTGATGCTGCTAGCTTTGGTCTTTTTATGGCGATGGAGTTGGGCTTTACTTCAATAATTCTGGAAACGAACTCTCTTATGCTAGCTCACCGTATGAATGCTCAACAATTCCTCTCTCTGACTTTGGTACTAGCGTCTTAAACACATATATGTTAGCTACGAATTTTGGCAACTTCAAATATGTTCATGTTAGTACTAGGGTCTTTAGAGGACGTTATTTGGGTGGAGGAGGCCTCACCTCTATTGAGAATTTTGTTTTTGTTGACAATCCTTTTCTGAATTTGTAATATTCAAATTTGATTTTCTCCACAAAAAAAAAAATAATAATAATAAAATAATGAAAAACTACTACATAAAATAGTTAGTATTCCTAAACATACCCTAAATAAATAAAATAATTTTATTTACTTCTTTTTATATAAGATAAACCTTACATTACATTTTTTTTTCAATCAAATGAAATAGTTAAAATTTTAGATTTGTTATAAATAATGAAATAATGATAATACAAGAAATTCGCTTTTTTCTAACTAAATTTCTAAATTTTAAAACTCAGCGTCACAAGGTTAGTCCATCTAATTAAATTGACTGAATTTCTTAACTAATTTGTTAGTAGATATATTTTCCAATCAATGCTAACACTATATATGTGTGTGAGAGTTCATACTATCAGCATCAACTAAATTTGAACAGCAATCATATGGAAGTAACAAAGTTCATACTATCAGCATCAACTAAATTTGAACAGCAATCATATGGAAGTAACAATTGTTATGTAAAATAAAGTAGAAAACATGAATTGATACAAAATTAACCGAAATTATAAATAAAAAAAAAAATTCTTTTTCATCTAGCCTTTTACCATATATAATTATCTCTATTCTTTTAGATAATCAAATAATAATATGCATTCTTTAATTTAGCCTTTTATATTTTTCCCCATGTAACCAAAAAAAAAAAAAAAAAAAACAAATTTTAACTAAATATACGGCTAAATAAGCAAATAAAATTATCTTTTAATAACTAAACAAACTGTCATTTATTTGGTGAACTTTGTTATTCTTGATGAAATCATTTCTCTGAGTGACCGTTACCTGTTTTTTAATTAACCAATGAGATTTTGACAATTCACTGCCTCTTCATCTGTAAAAATTGAGGCATTTTTAAATTTAGTGAGAAACATGTGTTTATTAGACACCGGTACACATGGCATAAGAGATAGTAATTAAAAAAAAAAAAGAATATAACCATAGAGCATAATCTTATACACTGCATCTTAAATTCTAAATTAGTAAATCATAAACTCTGAGACCTCTAAGGAAACTCTACACTCCTAAAGACCTAAACTATAAACTCTAAGATCTTAATAAGCCATTAATATTTTTTTTTATTTTTTATTTTATTTACAATACTTGGAGCATGGAGCATGACCAAACAATAAGACTTCAGATTTTTTTTTTTTTTTTTGAAATGTATAAGACTTCAGATTTTGATTCAGACGTTGGATTCTTTCATTCCAGATATTATAAAGGATTATTTTTTAACTGATTTATCATTCATCACTCCTCGTATAACTAATATTTATGTCTGCTAAAATGTTATTAGTAAATATTAAAAAAAAGACATACGAAAAACGTTTTTTTTAACTAATGAACTTCGTTTTCAGATATTGTATTATTAACTTTAATAAACAATTGTATAACCTATCAAACAGTCAATTAGATAGATTTATTAAATCGTGTAGAACGTTGTGTCTGCTGGGTTCCACCTATGGCTGCTTTTCTCAAGTTGAATAGTAATAATTAGGCTATCTTTGAATTACGTTTCAATTGATAACACATCAATTGATAACGCAGACTGAACATGTGGACAGAAATTTTAGGTTCAATTCCATTAAATAAAACGTGCCAGAACCCAAAGACACTGTCGGTATAAGATTTATCTAACTGATATTTCTTACACACTTCCATTTTGACACTTCTAAAACATTTAAAAATTTTATAAAACTTTTATATAAATTTATTAATAAAAAATTTTGGATTGTGGTATTAAATATAAATTAAATAATTATCTGCAGTTCAAATAAAAAAAATAATTATCTGCAGTTCAAATAAAAAAAATTAAAAGATATGTAAAAGAAGGAGAGAAAAGACGCAAATCATTATTTACAATTTGTAAGTTTATTGGATATATATTTATTATTGTCAAATTTAAGAGCTGGTTCACAATATTGGATATGTAAATTTTTAATTATAAAAATTTTGGGCTTCTATCAAGTAAAGCCTACAATATTATATTAAGCGAACTAAAATATGATATTGAAAATGAATGCAATTTATATAAATAACTCCTAGATGAGGGCCATAATTTTTAACAAAGACATTGATATTAAAGAATTAACTAATCATGCTAGAGCCGAAAGTTATGTTGTTTAGTTTATATTTATGTGTGATTGTGAATGATTATTTATTTATTTAAATTTTAACAAATTATATCTTTTTTATTTATTAAGAGGCTCAACAAGTTGAAACAACATTTCGGGCTATATAATAAAAGTAATTTTGCTCACTAAAATTATGAAACTCTTGTGGTCGAGAGGATTTGAACCTCAAACCTCTCATTCTCTACTTTTGATATAAGTGAAAAGACGAAACAAACCAGACATTATTACTAATAATAAATTATATTTTTTAATATAGTATAACTTACTTTTTTTTTTTAATTCTAGTATTTCATGTTTCGTGTCTGTATTATATTAGATCCTACGTTCTATATTTATATCTATGCAATATAAGAGAGGACTTTATTTAAATACCACCTACGATTTAATAATAAAAAAAGTGTAAATAAAAAATAATAAAATAATAAATGGTCAGCTATTAATAAATGGGAGGGCAAAGTAAATTTTTGATTTAAATTGTGTATGGTATAGTAACATTAAAATTGCTTTTCTTTATTGTTAAACTTATCCACAAAAACTTACCATAATCAAGGAAGATCGTACAACGTTATTCTCGTGTCGAATAACACTTGTTAGATTTACTTAATGGGCCCCAGATATGCGTGTTAGCTTTTAGTATGATCATTTTACATTATAAAATAAATTATTTACACTAATACCTTCATCAAATCAAGATGTAACTCACTAATAATAAACCCCTATAAATACCCATCGAAAGCTACGTGCATGTTATCCAGCAAAAGCAAGTCTCTTCGCTTTCCTCTTTCCCACGCTCATTCGCCGTAGCTCTGAACTTGAAATCCTTTAGGGAAAAACCAATATGGCCATGAACGTCTCCTCCACAGATTTCCTTACCCCAGCCGCCGCAGCCACCTCAACCTCCAGTACCAACACCATCAAAGCTCTACTCGTCACCCTATTTATCTCCATTGTTAGTACAGTTATAAAACTTCAAAGAAGAGCTGCTCTCAAAAAAACCACCAAAATTCTCCCACTACCTCCCGGCCCAAAACCCTGGCCATTCGTCGGAAACATACCGGAAATGATCCGGTATAGACCGACTTTCCGGTGGGTTGATCTCCGGTATAGACAACGACTTTCCGGTGGGTGATCAACTCTATGAAAAGAAAATGAATACCGATATTTGTCTTATTCGTTTCGGGAAAACTAATGTTATTCCTGTCAATTGGCCGATTATTGCACGTTGAACTGCTCAAGAAAAAAACGACGCCATTTTCTCTAACAAGGCCAATGATTCCTTTCTGGCTAAAGAATGAGTGGTGGTTATTCAAAAACTGCCATTGTTTCGTCCCCCTAACCATGATCAAGTGAAAGAAGAAGAAAATGAGAAAATATTTAACTTCAGAAATGTTTCACCGCTAACTGCTCAAAGTGGGGTTGGCGCACGACAAAAATAAGGAAGAAGCCTGATAACTTATTTTAATACCAAACCAGTACAAGGCCAACAATAAACAAGGCCAACAATAATGTCAATCTGCGACTTGTTGCAAGGCATTATTGCGGAAATGTGATAAGAAAAATGATGTTCAGTAAAAGATACTTTGGTGAAGCAACGCCAGATGGCGCACCGGGACGCATGGAGATAGAACATGTGGACTCAGTTTTTGCTGTTTTGAAATACTTATACGCATTTTGTATTTCTGATTTCATGCCTTTCTTGCTAGGGCTTGATCTTGATGGACAGGAAAAATTTGTTCTTGAAGCTAATAAGACTTTAAGGGCTTTTCATAATCCTCTTATAGATGAAAGGATTGAACTGTGGAGGAGTGGTCAAAGGAAGGAAAAGGAAATGAAAGAGTTTGCTTGATGTCCTTTAGTCGTTTATTACTCTTCCCAGAGATTCTTGATGAGATTTGCTTGATGTTTTTATTACTCTTCAGGATTCTGATGGAAAGCCATTGCTGACACCTGACGAGATCAAGAGTCAAGTCGCTGTAAGACCTTAAAACCTATATATTTACAAGCTTAAATATTTTCCTGATTCATGATATTTTGATTTTTCCATTTGTTGCTTTTTCCTCATTCAAGAATTTCAATATAAAATAAGATGAAATGAAAAGACCCTCGATAGAACATAAATCTTACAAATTCAAGAAATAATAAATATGATATTTTTGTTTGAAAAAAAAAATACATGTGCAGATCCTTACAAAATCCTGTATTACAAAAACTTTGCAGGAAGTTATGATAGCGACAATAGATAACCCTTCAAACGCAGTGGAATGGGCCATAGGAGAATTGCTAAACCAACCAGAAATTCTTAAGAAAGCAACAGAAGAAATAGACAGGGTGGTCGGAAAAGACAGACTTGTCCAAGAATCAGACATCCCTGATCTTAACTATGTCAAGGCATGTGCAAGAGAAGCTTTTAGGCTCCATCCTGTAGCCTACTTCAACCCACCTCACGTTGCTGCGCAAGACTGCGCAAAGACGCTGAAATTTGCGGTATTTGGATCCCTGAAGGTAGTTGGGTCATGCTCAGCCCGATATGGTTCTGGGCCGAAACGCAAAGACCTGGCCTAACCCGCTCAAGTACGACCCCTGAACGCATTTTGAAATGAAAGGAGAAGTGGTTTTGACCGATGAAGGAGAAGTGGTTTTGACCGAACATGGCTTGAGATTCATATCATTTAGCACGGGAAGGCGCGGTTGCATCGCGGCTTTACTCGGAACTTGCATGACTACTATGTTATTGGCAAGAATGCTTCAATGCTTTACCTGGAGTCTGCCGGATAATGTCGAAAAGATTGATCTTTCCGAAGGGGTCGACGAGCTTTTTCCGGCCAATCCCGTGGTGGCTTTTCCAAAGCCACGTTTGGCTCCTCATCTTTATCCTACTTCGCCATGAATGAATGAATGGAAGGATTTTAAGATATGTAATTAATTCAGAATACTTTGAAATCTGAAATAAATAAATAATATCTGACTTGCATGGTTATTATGTTAGGAGGTGAAATTTATGAGTAGAAGTTGCATGTGGTGGTAGCTTTATTGAAAGTATCTTTACAACGTTTTTGTATTTCATCAATGGTTGCAACTGTTTCATTAAGTAAATTTGCTATTAATTAAAAAAAAAGTCTTTCTTTCATTTCTTTTAATTAATTTAGGCTTGCAACTTTATAATCTTGAACCAGTATTAGCATTGATGGAAATGGACTCATAAACAATCCGTCAGAATCCCAATAAATGTAAATAGATCCAAAAGATTTGAAAATCAATTGTAAAAAGAAAAAGGGAGATAGAAGAAGACCCATGCAAGCTCATAGTTGTAAGGTTTTGATAGTTGAATGTGAAAGAATTTGTATTGTATTGTTGTATGATTTACATTATACGACACCCTTAGATACATTAAGATACACTCAAATTCATAATAGGATACACTCAAATCATAATAGGATACACTCAAATCAAAATTAGATACATTAAGATCAAATTCATATAAACTTGGATCACTTAGATTTTATTCTGATATTGATATGAAAAATATCAATGGAGTAGATGAGTAGTACATATATAGAAGAGAGAAAAGAGGAGTGCGAGAGAGTTTAGAGTTGCGATGCTGATTAGCATAACCTTGTTTGTCTTCGTTGACATAGATAATGCTTCTTTCTCTTTTCACATCCTTTTCACCATAGAAATTACTTGTATACTTTCAGTGTGGACCAATATCGTAAAGTTAAAGTAATAAAGTTTAAGAGAAAATTATATATTCAGTCGTTTTTAAGTTTATATTTATGTGTTATTATGAATAATTAATTATTTATTCGAATTTTTAAATAAATTTTAATATATTGTGGCATATTTTTTAAAAAATTGTCATGTCCATTACGTGTCATATTATGTCTCATTTCCCATGTCTATATCTATGCAATATATATAAGAGAAGGCTTTACATTGCATATAGATTAGCTCTTTTTTGAATTTTGTTATAAATATCTAATATAAGTCGTGAGCTATTATAAAAATGGGAAGGGAAAGTAAATTTTGATTTCAATTGTGGTATGGTACAATAAAAGTATTTGCTTTCTTTATTGGAATTCATTCATAAAAACTTGATTTTATGTGAAGTATTTTGCTTTCTTTATTGGAATTCATTCATAAAACTTGATTTTTATGTGTCAAAATACGTCCAATCTGTGCAAGTTTATAATTTTTGGGACTTTATTTGATATTATTTTTTATCAATTTTTCTTAATACTCTATCTTTAATAACAATTACATCCTCAAAAATACGATAATATGAAAATAAGGTTCGTATTTATATTTCTTTAGATTTTATTTTTATGTCATAGTTTCAGGATTTTTTGTTCGGTAATATAATTTCTATTATTAAATTATTAGATAACCCATTTATTTTAAAAATTAAAATTAGATTTATGTAAGATTAATTTGGATAGAGTAATGGATATTTTTTATATTTATATTTTTTAAAAATTTCAAAGTGTAACATGATGATTTAGAAATGTTGGAAATACTTTTTTTTATATTGTGTAATCTAGCATTAATTGCCGTGGAGTAAAAATCTGGTTTACTTGTTTCATCATCCATCTCCTAAGGGTTAAGAGAACTATGGCTAGGATAGTTGGTAAGGATCATAGAGAAAAGGAGTGAGTCTTCTTCATGTGCTTGAAGTCAGAGCGTACTGGAAGCAAAGCAAAGGCAAGGATCCAATTTCTCTCAAATCAAAGTAAGGAGTCTCCTTCTTCCGATAAGAAGAGTTCCCCGCTTCGGTGAAAAGAAAGAGCGAGAGTTGGTTAAGAAGCACGAATCAAGATCCACTGAATCGCTGCTTACTGTTTTGGCGCTCCCCTAACTATTTGGACTGAGTTTGGTACTTACTATGTTGAGAGATTCTGTTCTCCATTGAATATTTATATTGATTAGAATATGAGTATGGAAATCTAACATTTTTATTTCTCCACAACAATACCCATTTTATTATAATCTGTTCTAGGAAAGAAGTTATTTGATTAGCCTGTAAAACTTATTCATTTACTATTTAAAAAAGAAGTAAGTTCATAAAACTTTGCCATAAATATCAGGAATTATTCGTATATTATTATGCACAGATCCCTTCCTTCAAACACAGTTAGTTTTTCTTTTCCTTTCCAATCAACCAATTCCTGATGAACCAGTATAATAACAGAAGCAAATTCTCTCGAGATCCTAAGCCATGCCCATTTATCTTCATATAACAGCTCTCTTACTAATCTACCTTATATTTCCGTGGTACTTATCTTTTGAGTCAAAGGTAAAATATAAAAGACGAATAGTGCAATGGCTACTCCCATTAATACTGCCTCTTTTCATATTCAAAATCACTCATTACGCGCCGCTGATGGACTATTTCAGTCACTGCTCCTACGGCAAATCACACCAGTCAGCCATGCATGACCGGCGCCTCCTCCGCAGGTAAATTAGTCATACTTCTTAAATTAGTAATTAATATGCAGGCATTGTTGGGCAAAATTAATTATTTTAGTATGTTTATTTTATAATAGTAAAAAGAAAAAATAAATCCCACTTGAAAAACTTTTACCGAAAAAGACCTTTTAAGTATTTATATTAACTAGCAAGTCTAGAATTTGAATGCTAATATTTCTATCCTTTTTCAAATATCTTACTGGGCAAAGTTTTCATATAAATTGCTAAACAACCGCTTGTTAGCGTATAAAGAGAGATCAATCGCTAATTACCAATCCTTCTTCTAATATGATTTTCATGGCTGGCAATAGAATCTCCTATGCCCTAGAATTACTTTGCATAGATCCTTTACCATTCAAAGTATTTCTAATTCTTTTAGCCATTTTAATCTTCCTTTTCATGTCACGACCCCAATGTTACTCCTGTGTTGGTTTGTCAAAGGTTAAACCCACAAAACGTTGCATTATTAGTAAATGGGTGCTTCCTGTCACGCCGATTACGATGGTGTTGATCGTGCAATGCTTATCTTCTTCAAATGATACTTTCTCTGCCACTTTATCGCCATTGTTCTTGTTTTCTATCAGGAATTCGCATTGGTTTGTCTCTGCTTTGATTTGGCAGTTACTTGTTAGGGCATATTTCCAATTAACCATACGTCAGAAATTGTATTCTTCCTTTTAGTAAAATTTAATTCAATGTTGCAGTTGTTTTTTGAGGGAGAACTAATTGGGTATTAACAAAAACAAAAAGTTTCTTTTCTTTTTTATGAAATTTATTTGAAATTTCGTATTTTTATGTTTGGTAAAATGAAAATTTACTCAATTTCATTTTCACAGATTCCATTAGTGATTGAGATTTTAGTGTACTTCCTTGGAGCATAATTCTTATTATTAAGTCAAAAAACAAGTTTGTGTTAATTAATTAATATCTATTTAAATTGATTGATTCAAGATAGTTATTTTTATTTAATTATTCTCTATTCAAAAGCTATGAAATTGCAGTGGTATTAGAAATGTTGAGGACAAATTAGAATCGTTCTTTCTACTTCTTTTTGTATGTAAAGAAGAGAAATATACAAACACCAAGAAATGGTTTCATTATACAAACTGTAACTACAGAAATTTAACATGAAAAAGAAAAAACAATGGAGAAAATCTCACTTGAGCAGTCAAACTTGTATGAGATCATGGAGCATTTTCTTTTTTTCTTTTTTAAATACATGATCCTACATAAAAAGGAAAGGAAATATCAAAGCTGACCCAAAAAAAAGATACTACGGGCTTCAACAAATGCTGTAGATAATTCTGCAGCATTATCTTCCGCCAGATAGCTCCATAGCGTCCTGGTTATATAATGAATCTTCTCCCCAGTCAAATCTTCTTTGCAGCCTTTCATATTCTTGCCTGCGTCCTGGTTATATAATGAATCTTCTCCCCAGTCAAATCTTCTTTGCAGCCTTTCATATTCTTGCCTGCGCGTAACCTCAATATGCTGCCACTCTTCCCATCTCTCAGCCAGACCCTCTCCTTCTAACATCCGTACCACCTCTGACATTGCTGGCCACGTGCTGCACCTAAGGCCACCCTTTTTCTTGTTGCCCAAACTAAAACAGGCTCCTCAGGCTTACGTTCTGCACCCAAGATTAAAACAAGTCAACCTAACACCAACGGCTGTTATCTTTTTAACCGGACAAGAATTGTACAAGATGTATAACCTCTATCCCACTACAAGTGTTGTTTAAGATTTTTTTTTTTTTTTTTAATATCCCACTTCATTTGTCAATTTAGAAAATCAAGGAAGCATTAATTACTTGTTTCAACCTTTACCCTTGATGTTTGGTATTTCCCCTAAATAAGCATTAATTATTTATAGAGTTGATACAAGAGTATGTATTCAATTACAACTATTTTTCGCTGAAACTAAGGTTATTTAATGATTTTCTGAATCCTTGTGCACTTATCTCAAACAACACTTCGGACGGAGGTTATATATATATTATTGAATTCAATGTCCTATTTTAAATTACATGTGAAAGAGGTGCACAAGGTTCATAGGAATCATATTCCTTAAGAATTCGATAATACTATGTATACTGGGGTTTCCTAATCCTTGCCAATATAGATCAGTGCTATAACTATTTTCATGATCGGAACATAGTTTATAATTCCTATTCAAAGGAACATAGTTTATAATTCCTATTCAAATACAAAATTCTTAGTAAACATAGTGTACCATGTCAATTGCAGACAAAGCCTTTCCAAATGACACAGTGTTGTTAAATGATAATTAAAAATCAAATATTAACATTCAGCTGAATGGTAAATTCACAAGTTCAGCATCGATGAGTGTTTAAAATTGACCATCTTTCAATAACTATCTAATTTATTAGGTTTAGCATACAACTTCCATTGTTGACGGTCTAAATAAAATTTTCTCATTCAAACATCCAACTTCCTCTTGTTCTCCACCATGTCCCTAATAATATGGATTTATCCTTGCCTAATCTCTGTTGTAACAGAAATCTAGAACGACATACTAAGTTGATAGGGAATATATGGCCTACTCCAAAATTATCTATTGAGCAGCCAGACACTCTTTGAAGTTATGGAGTGTAGTACAAAGCATAGTGATGGCAGACGACTTTCTAATGCCAATTTAGTAAAGCTTCTCCTGTGCACCTTTGATAAGTATTTTATACAGCAATCTAACTGAAGTATTCTTTTATCCACTCTGGAATAGACCTAAACAGGCATGTCAAATGGTATGCAATCAGTTGTTCTTAGTTTGCTCGAGACAGAAAATCTACCTATGTCAAATGGTATGCAATCAGTTGTTCTTAGTTTGCTCGAGACAGAAAATCTACCTACCCCTCTAAGCATATATAACCTTAGGTATGCATTACATCTCGAACTAAAAAAAATAATCTTTCTAGATAATCAGTTGATTAGGATTGAACAGATTTAAGCAAGCTTGAGAGAACAATGAACAAATCAATGAATAATAGAAAGAATGAATGGAAGTTGCAGAGAGATCAATCATTCTCTACTGCATCTCTAAACCGTAATACTCTGTTCTACCAAATATCTGCTGTACAAGAGAGTATTTAAGATCTATTGGACAAATAACTAACTATGAGTTTTGCTAAGAATACTGAGCTGTGATGATTATTGGGCAATGGTGCTGTGATATTTAATATGGACAGACTGTGACTGAAGTATCTCCTATACCCCCTCCTCAAGCTGGTGTTGGGGAGAAGTCAACCAACCCAAGCTTGGAAGAAAAGGACTGAAACATGGTTGTGGATAGGGGCTTAGTGAACACATCTGCAAGTTGCAATGTTGAAGGCAGGTAAGGTGTGCTAATGAAGCCTAAGAGAAGCTGGGATCTGACAACATGACAATCAATGTCGATGTGTTTGGTCCTTTCATGAAAAACGGGGTTGGCAGTGATGTGAATTGCTGCTTTGTTGTCACAATGAAGTGGTATTGGTGTTGGGATTGTAATGTGGAAATCAGAAAGAAGGGAATGCAGCCATTTTATTTCACAAACTGTTGTAGCCATGGACCTATACTCGGATTCTGCAGAGGACCTGCTTACAGTGCTCTGTTTCTTTGATTTCCATGAGACCAAAGCAGTGCCTAGGAAAATACAGTATCCTGTAGTAGACTTTCTAGTATCAGCACATGATGCCCAGTCTGCATCAGAAAAAGCTCTGAGCTTCATGTCATTCTGTGAAGGGAGGAATAGGCCTCTATAACTGGTTCCCTTCAAATACTTGACCACTGTCAATGCAGCCTTAAGGTGTTGTTGATCAGGTGATTGCATGAACTGACTTAGCTGCTGGACAGCAAAGCTAATGTCAGGTCTTGTTAGTGACAAATACAGAAGTCTGCCAACAAGTCTCCTGAAAACATCTGGATTTTGGAAAATACAGAAGTCTGCCAACAAGTCTCCTGAAAACATCTGGATTTTGGAGAGGAGAGCCCATGTCTGAACTGAGCTTCAGTCCCTGAATAAAAGGGCTAGAGCTTGGTTTTGCATTCTGCAATCCAGAATCTTTGATGATATCTATGATGAACTTGTGTTGAGTGAGAAGAATTCCTTCAGTTGATCTAGCAATTTCAATGCCAAGAAAATATTTTGCATATCCCAGGTCCTTTATAGTAAATTGGTGATGCAGATAGTCTTTGAGGTCTTGAATGAGCTCCTCGGATGGTCCTGTTATAATGCAATCATCAACATAAACCAGAATAGCAAGAAAGGAATCGCCTTTGCCTTTTGTGAACAGGCAGTTGTCAAACATGGACTGTTGAAACCCTTTAGAAATTAAACTTGCAGAAAGTTCCTTGTTCCATTGTCTCCCTGCTTGCTTTAATCCATAGAGAGATCGCTGCAATTTACATACTTGGCCTTTGTGAGCTTTGTCATAACCTGGTGGTACTTGCATGTATATAGTTTCATCCCATGCAAGTAGGCATTGTTGATGTCTAGTTGATGAACAGACCAAGCTTTAGCTGCTGCCACAGTTAAGAACACTCTTACAGTTACTAACTTTGCCACAGGAGAAAAGGTCTGGTTGTAATCTAAACCCAGCAACTGACTGTAACCCTTTGCCACAAGTCTGGCCTTGTATCTGTCAATGCTTCCATCTGGTTTATACTTGATCCTGTATATCCACTTACATCCCACAGGTTTGACATTAGGAGGTAAATCAGTTAGTGTCCATGTATTGTTATTTTCAAGAGCAGTTAATTCTTCATGCATGGCAGCTACCCAATTTTTATCATTTTTAGCTTGATTATAATTGCTAGGTTCCTTGACTTTAGACACATGTGCAACAAAGGTTTGGTGTGAGGGTGTGAAATGAATAGAAGCTGGTGTTTGAGTGGATGAGATGTGAGAAACCACAAAGTTTGAGTGGATGAGATGTGAGAAACCACAAAATCGTGTAACCAGGTTGGTGTATGTTTGGTTCTTATGCTTCTTCTTAAAGCAGGAGCCTGTACTGAATCTGCTGATAAAGATTCAGGAATAGGTGGTTGGGTAATAGCTGGTGCAGTAGTACTGGGCTGTGATGTGCTGTGTGGAGACAAATTTGATGTTCTATTATCTGAAGATGAGGGAGTTGTATTATTTTCGGTGAATGGAGGGGAGGGTGGTATTGGTGAAGTATTTCTGGATGGATTTTGCTAAAAAACATCAAATGTGGTTACGGGAAATGAAATTGGGGATAGATGTGTATCAGAAATGCAAGTTGGTAGTGTAAAGTTTGTTATGGTTTCAGGTGTTTTGTGGTGAAAAGGGAAAATGGTTTCAATAAAGATTACATCTCTTGAATGGAATACAGTTTTGGTACTGAGATTGTACAACTTATACCCTTTATGCTGTTGAGAATAACCAAGGAACACGCAAGGATGGGCTCGGGGCTCAAACTTCAGTTTGTGTGGCGCAGTAAATATTAGTTGAGTACATAAACATCCAATGACTCTGAAGGAACATAAACATCCAATGACTCTGAAGTGGGCATATTCTGGAGGTTTATTATATAATCTTTCATAGGGTGTTTGCCATTTGAGATTTTCAGAAGGAATTCTATTTGATATGTAGGTTGCCGATAACAAGGTTTCAGACCAGAATTGAGTTGGGAATTTGGCTTGGTGGAATATAGCTCTAGCAATATTTATTAAGGTTCTATGTTTCCTTTCCACTACTCCATTCTGTTGAGGAGTATGTACACAAGTTCTTTGATGAATAATGCCTTTTTCAAAAAAAAATTTCTGACATTCAGAATTTATGAATTCTGAGCCATTATCAGATCTGAAGATCTTGATATTTTGTTAGAATTGTGTAAGAATTAACTGGTAAAAAGATTTCAAGGCAGATGGCACTTGAATCTTGGTTGTTAACATGTAAGTCTAGCAGTATCTACTGTAATCATCCACTAAAGTCAACATATACACTGCATTTGTAAGAGATTTAACACTGTATGGTCCCCATAAATCCATATGTACAATCTCAAAAGGTTTTAAAGTAGAAATTTGACTAGTGAAAAAAGGTAATCTGGTTTGTTTAGCAAGAGGACAAACAGGACATGCCATATCCACAAAATCACAGTCATGTACATCATTTACATGTTTCAATCTCTTATTAGAGATATGACCTAATCTAGCATGCCACAACATTGCCAGATGTTTATTATGACTATTACATTGAGCTAACACATTGTTTCCCTTATTTTGAATGAAAGATTCTTTTGTCATGTAGTATAGATCTTCATAAACTTTTCCCACTGCCAGTAATTCCTCAGTCTATAAATCCTGGAGTAAGCAGTATTCAGGAAATGAGTGCACAGACAAATGACATGTTTTGGTGAGTAAGTTGACTGAAATAAGGTTGCAGCTAAAGGAAGGGACATACAACACATTGTATAGAGTAATTCTATTATTCAGTTTAATATTTCCAATGTGAGTAACCTGTCTAGTGGAATTGTCAGGTAATCTAATGGTTTTGGGAGGGTTCAATTTTTGTACAAGGTCAAAGAATGATAGATTGGCAGTGATATGGTCTGTTGCACCTGAGTCTATTATCCAGTTACTTTTGCAATTAAAATCAATGCTATAAATGACAGAATTGAGTAAGGTACCTGCAAAGACAGAATTGAGTAAGCGTACCTGCAGAGTGAATCACTCCTGAGTGTCGGCATCAACCTTGCTCGTACTGATAATCCATTTGCTGCTGCAAGTGGTTGTATCATTCATGCTGAACTGCATTCACCGTGTTTTGTTCCAGTCATGTTGAATTCTCTTTCCTTCTTTTGTAATTCAATGAACCAGTCTGGATATCCATGAATTTTTTTTTTTTTTTGAAGCAGTTATACTATGTTGACCATCTCATTTGGGGCCATTGGAGTGCAATATTTGTCTTTCTTGTCTTCTTTCTGTGTAGTAATGGTTCCTATTACGCAGTTGCAGTGAATTGTTGTAATTGCTGTTGTAGTTCCTTCCTAGCTAACAATAACTGTTGACGTTTCACTAAGATATCCACATTCAGCTGTATTTTGTATTTACCTCTCTTTGCTTCTCAACACTTAAAATCATGGAATAAGCTTTGTTGATTGAAGGAAATGTATCCATTAAAAGGATATGATTCTTTACATTGTCATATTCATCACCTAGTCCCATTAGAAACTGCATTAGCCTTCTACTGTTGTCATATTCTGTGATTGCGTTTGTTTGGCAGCAACATGTAGGTAAAGGTGCCAAACACAGTAATTCATCCCATTTTCTTTTGAGATTTGTATAAAAACTTGTGACAGATTCGTTTCCTTGCTTGTAACTTGCAATTTCTCTCTCAATCTTGTATATCATTGGGCCATTACACTCTCCATATCTCTGTTTTAGCTCATCCCAAAGTACTTTTGCAGTTTTGCAAAATACAAAAGCATCTGATATCTCCTGATATCTCTTAGACACAGCATTAATGATCACGAAGCCTACCCATGCTATCTGCTTGTAACCACCTCTCATATTCTATTCCTCTGACTGTTGATTCAGGTTGACTATGGTTCCAACTTGATAAACCCTAACTGTTTCTCGCCTGAGAGCTACATACAGATTCTGCTCCATGAGATATAATATAATTCTCTGGTCCTCTTAATGAAGAATTTACCAACCGAAATCCAGGAGATTCTGAGTTATTCACATGTAAAGGATCATTATCATGATTTTTGCTAGTAACTGCGGCGATAAGTCTTGCCACATCTTCTGGAGTCATCATCTTGATGTTCAACCAGATCTAAAACAAATTTTACTATTGAATTGCAGAAATCCAAGAAACAGATCAGTTAACCTGCTCTGATACCATGAACAGATTTAAGCAAGCTTGAGAGAACAATGAACAAATCAATGAATAATAGAAAGAATGAATGGAAGTTGCAGAGAGATCAATCATTCTCTACTGCATCTCTAAACCGTAATACTCTGTTCTACCAAATATCTGCTGTACAAGAGAGTATTTAAGATCTATTGGAAAGATCTATGAAAAATACTAAACCTATGAGTTTTGCTACAATATGAATACTGAGCTGTGATGATTAATTGGCAATGGTGCTGTGATATTTAATATGGAACAGACTATGAACTGGAAGTTCTCCTATAAGGAATAAACATTCCTATCCTCTAGAAACGTACATTCGCCTTTTGATGCATACGGTTCAACACAAATTGCGAAAAACAAAAAAAAGATCATGTGTAGAATTCAAGCCCTGATTCCAGCCCTCCTTTGACCAGCTATTACATGATCATTGAGCAATATGTTTGGCGCATGCTTTCAGGAATATATAAAATTAGCCACATCTACAATGCATAAAATGCCAATGAATGAAAAAGCAAATTGTTAGTTGCTTCCATTTAAATATAAGGCGAACAGGTAATACCTCTTAGACGATATGCCACACTTAAATTCGGCATAAATGGATAAACTAAAAGGCGTTCTGATGGTGTTGTGCAAAAACCTATCAGCCGTAGTAGATTCCTGTGAACAGCTACGCTTATCATCTCAACCTCACGTTGGAAAGCTGCATCTCCTCCTGGACTTTCAAAATCAGTTAAACGCTTAACAGCTACTTTTGTGTTATCTTGAAGCACTCCTTTATAAACTTTTCCAAAACCTCCCTGTCAAAATCTAATTCTTTAGAGATACTCAACTAACTCTCAATTGAAACATTCTATTCAGGTACACAATATCAATATATTTCATTCAATTTTAATTATTTATCATTATCTTACTGATTTAAACATCGTACCGATTCCACAAATAGCATAGAGGACGAATGACATATCTAAAGGTGTTATAAATCATCCAACCCTCAATACAATATTTTATTATCATATAGTCTCTCTTTTTTTTTTTTTTTTTTTTTTTATTTTTTTTGGCTCTATCAGATATTTTTTCAATTATATTTTTTTGCATTTATAAAACTAAATTTTGTTCTGTTTAGAGGAGTTTTTAATAAGGCAGCATCTCTTTCAACATATATATTTTAATTGATTAGGGACAAGTTATGATTGTTTTTAGGGCCTGGTGGTGAAAATATCAGATATTTTTCAATTATATTTTTGCATTTATAAAACTAAATTTTGTTTTGTTTAGAGGAGTTTAATAACACATCTCTTCACAATATATAAAGTTAACAGTTTGATTGTTTTAGGTTTTTGGAGTTTGGATCAATATATTAACATACTCTATACTTTGTAGGTTTCTGCAATTTCTCTATATTTTGACCTTTTTATTAATTTTACTTTAATTTTGATATTGTCTAACAATAGCACCCTTAATTGCAATTAAAATAAAATAGCAATAGAAAAGTCTTTCCATCATTTTTATAAATTATAATATCATGTGGCACTTATTAAAAATTTTAAAAAATTTCATTAGTCTTATCCAATTAATGTTGTAGAATAAATTTTAATTTTTGAAATAAACGTGCTAATTAATAATTTAATAACCTAAATTTCTATTACTTAAAAAAAAACACAAAGCATATGACATAAAAATTAATTTAAATAAATATAATTTTTTTCAATTAAGTATTTTATTTTCATATTTCTATATTTTAAGGATGAAAAAAAAATCCTAATTGTTAATTCTTTTGAATTGATAATATAGTCAAATTATAATTCATTTGATATAAAATAAATAAATAACTTATTAATTATTTTAATTGCATATATTTCAAATATCATATTTCTAAATCTATAAATTATCATCAACTATATGTGAATATAATTAGATATTCAAAAGACATTTAAATTTTTATTTTTATTATTAACTTTTTAAAAATTTACTGATGAAAATGATTTTTTATTTACAATTTCATCATTAATTGTAATTGAGTGTGCTATTACTATAAAAGATTGAAATTGGAATAAAATCGACAAAAAAAAAAAAGATGAAATAATACAAATTCACAAAATTTGGGGTATTCTAATACATCATATCTTGAGTTTTGATTTACTTTTATATGAAATAAAAAAACAAAATAATTATTATATTATATGAATAGAATATTTATTATTATATAATTTGAAAATTTGTTTGAAATATTATACTAAAGTTTATATTCTCATAAAAAAAACTCGTATGGATATATATATAATATAATATTATATATATATAATATATTTATATATATTATATATATATAATTAAATGAAAAGTATAGTTTTATCTTTCATTAAAATGTAAATAGTAAATGTATATATATATTAAATGAAAGTATAGTTTATCTTTCATAAAATAGTAAATAGTAAATGGATGGGAATACTATGGAGTGTATATGACAGGAAAATTTATTTACGAAATTCTGAGTGAGAAATAAATAGGAATTTAAAGCTAGCATTATTTGCAAATACTCCTTTATACAATCCATGTACTACAATCAATTATTATGTACTCCATTTTTTGTTTTTAAATAAATATTTTTGGATATTAGAAATACACACACAACTTAAACTTTTAGGTGACAACGGTTAAGAGACAATTATAACTCGTGAGTTATTTATAACACATTATTATTATAAGCTAATTAAAATTTTTGTTTACATAATTTTAAATATTTAAAATAATGTAATTCTTTAAATTGAGACAATTAGTTCTCACAAGTTTCAATCTTAGTCAAATTCCATTCAACAACATATATTACAATTTCACTGGCTTTTTATAAATTAATAATTAACTCCTCAAATTTTTAAAAAAATATGTTAAAATATTTTTTTAATGGCTGTTAGGTTCCAGATGACAGTATTTTTCCCAAGTGTACGAAATCGCTACAAGTAATATATGATGATTAGAATATCGTTTCCATGAGGATTGTATTACAAGTAATTAAAAATACTAATTAAAGTAATTAAAAATACTAAAAATTCTAATAAAAATTATATAAAAATACTATGAAAATAACATATATCACCAGACTCCAGATCCCTTCCCTCGTTTCTTTAACTTGTAATTTCTGCTCTTTAATAGGTTTATAATGTAATTCGTAATGAAGTATTTGAGAAAATTGTAATTGTGTAATAATGTATTATAGTTTAATATTATATTTCTTTGGGATTGATTTGTGTAGACTAATCTATGGATCTATTCATGAATTAAACAAATGAAAAATATTTTTTATTCCATTAATATAATTTATGGGTGAGCTTATAGATCAGATCTAAGTAAGTCACTGTGAAATATAATATTTGTATATTGCAATATCAGATCAAAAGATTTAAATAACTCGGTGAGTATTTACGATTATTTTTGTTTTGATTTACTACCAACCAGTTTCCCGCATGAGAAATATGAATTAGACGATGAATGGATTTCACGTTTCACATTTCACATATACAGACAGACATGCATGCGTGAGTGTGAAGAATGTTAGCAAATTGAAAAGATATCTATGTATCTATATAAACACACACAGAGCAGGAAATATATGCAGAGGACAGTTTCTGTTGCCGAGCCATAATTAATTATATATATCATCGATCATCATTATCATCGATCATCATTACCAGTTTCACATGTATTCTTTGCCCATTTCATGTTGGATTTTGTGGTCTTGTCTTCTCAAAGACATTCATTCCGTATTGAGGGTATGGGGTACTGTACAAATGTATATTGTCCTTTGCTTAATTAGCTGTTTGTCTTAAATTTTTTTATTCCATTTATTTATTACAGCCTGAAAAAACACTGTGAACTACATCACTGGATAGTTTTCTCTTTGCTCACCAATTGAATGAAAAAATCTTATGGTGACTGATCAATCCACCGCGTAAAGAGAGAGGTCGACCCCTCATTTTGTCTAATTTTAAATATATGTAATTGGTTTAAATTAATCCATAAAGTTCAATTTATTTGTCTTTGACCCCTCCTTTTTTAAATATTATATATTGATTCTTGACAAAAGTATTTATAGATTCACTACTGCTTATGGTTGAAAAATTTTAAATTTGAAACTTCTCACTCTCTACATATAAGTGAGAAAACTAATTAAATTAGGGACTATATTTAGTTGGGTGTTAGTCTTTAATCTTTGAAGTAAGAGATTAGTATCTTCAACTAGAATATGCAGCCAAAAAATTTTTCTAAAAATTATTCTTTTAGTTATTTTTAATTTATAATTAAACCGACTAAATATTTATTAGAAAATTAAAAATATGAAAATTATTATTTAAAAATTATATTAATCACACATTAGATTAACATTTTACATATAAAAATTAAAACAATAAAATATCTATTACTACTAGTGGTAAAATATGTAAAATATTATTAAACTTTATAATTTTGACAGCATAATAATTTTTTCGCATCGAACTTGAAAAGGCATATGCCCATGTAACAATACCTCTGAGATAGGCCCATGGATATGGAAGACATAGAACTGTAGAAGAATGACAAATTCGACCGTTGAAAGAGACAAGAAATGTAGAAATCCTGAAACCAACGTGCACTAATGCTAAAGCCGCCCATTAATCCCTGTGCTCTTTTTTCTATTAGCCCTGTCAAAGTAAGGAACCATGGCATATATGTACACGTCTCACCTTCACATTGAAAAATAAAAAAAAATTATATACTCCTTTGGTTGCATTCTCATTTTGTTTGCATTCTCGTTTTTTTGCGTGGTTTCACAGAACATATGTATTAAAAATTTAATCAATAAATATTATTTTATTATTTTTTTTACAATTAATTTATTAAAATATTAATAAAATTCTTCATTTAATGAATAATTTATAATTGTCATTTTAGGACATCTAAAAAAGAATAACAAGCAAACAAAACAGGACAAAAAAAAAAATATAACTATGAATGCACGAAGGAGCGCAGAAATTTGTTAAAAGAAAAGGGAGCCTAGAAAATGAAATGCTGCTAACACGTGTGCAACAACATCTTCAGCTTAGCTCCTTATTAGATCATTTTCAATGCAACTATGGATTTGTTGGGAAAATCGCTATTTTTCACGCCCTTCGGATCGGCTTCAAGCAGGAATAAATGAGAAAATAAAATAATAACTGAGAAATTAAAGAGAACACGATAATTTAACGCGGAAAACTCCCCAAGTGGAGAAAAACCACGACCGTTGTCAAACGACAATCAAGAAAAATATTCACTATGCGGCAAATTGTTACAACCATAATTACCCGTTGTCAAACCGACAATCAAGAATAATATTCACTATGGGGGCAAATTGTTTACAACCATAATTACAAAATATTGTTTTACTTGAACCCTCAAAACACCCAATATTTTATACTCCAACCCTCAAAACACCCCAAATATTTTATACTCCAAGGGATTCCAAAAGACTCCCTAATATAAAACACGTTCAAGTGTGTTTTGGTGTGTTTAGAAACCTAAACCTTATTTCCTTTTATAGCCAATCTACTATCCTCCATAAGCTCTTCTCCCCGATGTGGGATTGAGCTAAACAAATTTTTTATATATTTTTTTTTTTTTGTTTTCAACAATGGCGGCTAACAGGATTGCTTTTATTTATTTGTCACATGAAAAATTGAAAGTTAAAAACAAAAACCTTATCCAAAGCTATTGTTTGTTTAGTTTGTGAGTATGATGTGTAAAAAACAAAGAGACATTGTCCTCACGCTCTCTATTTCTAGAGGGTTT